CTTCACTAATCTTATCTTTAACTTATCTTTCTTTTAAATTTATTTCTTTATATTATATATATGTCTTTTCTGTATTTCATTTCTATTCTATATAATATATACTTTTCATTATCTTTCTATATCATTACTATCACCTTATTCTATACTTTTCGCTTGATGAAACGTAATCTACTCCTTCTCCTCCTTCTCTTTACCCTCTACATCCACTAATTAGTCTTCTCCTTTATTTCCCACATACCTCTTCTCATCATAATTAACATTCACCTTGTCTATTCTCCCTAATGTCTCCTGTCCTTTAGTAAAATCTTCACTTTGTTATATTATAGAAAAGCTCAAGGTAAACGAGTAATCATGATATGAAACTAGTGGTTATTATAGGATGTGAAATTTCCCCTTATATATACTCCGTTTACCAATAAATACATATCAGATATTGAACTCTGTATTGCTTAATAAAATATAGACTAGCGATGATGGATAGTAAGGGAGAAAGAAGAATTATATAATTAACAATATTGAACCATGTTGGGTCTATATGATATTTAAAAATTATTTTTTACTGTGATAAATGTCATATTGCTATAATAGATTGATATATTTCAAACACTTTTATGTTATAGTTAAAGAAAAATAAAATTATAAATAAATAAATAGCCATGACTTTCAACGTTGCAAGCACCGCACCCGATCGAGTTGCCAGAATTATCGAGACTGGATTATTTCTTTGATGATTAAATAAACAGATATTCTTTTCACGAGAAATACCTAAAGAATAGATGCTCAATTATCTACCTGTAGGAATTATTAAGTTAATTTTTCATATTCTATATTAACAACTATTAGTCTTAGTATTTAATTGATTATAATTTATAGAAGTAGACTATTACTATAATAAATGTATATATCTTCATTTTTCTTATATTAACACAGCTAGCTACCTCTCTACTATTAATAATCTAGATTCATAATATATCTATTCATATTACTTTAATTTATCATAATCTTAAGCATATATATATATATATATATATATTATATAATGTACTAGTTTTTGATTCTATTTCATAATATCCTTCTACATACTCATACTACATTTCTCATAACTTTGCTTATATCTACTAACCTATTTTTATTTATCTAAATAATCATATTCAGTTAATCCATATCATATGTGCCAACTAATTAATTATTTAATATTATTAAAGTAATGATGTATTAGATTGAAACGAATGATAAAGTGAATGATGATGATGGTGAGTTGAGTGGTGGTGAATGATTATATGATTGAATGATTAGAATAGTAATGAATTAGAATTTAGATAATGATTAGATGTAATTGTAATGACGATGATATGTAAGAGGAATTAGATGATAAATGATATTAATGAAATAGGTAGGCCATATAATACGTTGACGCAAAGAGAAAATGGCTAAAATGTAGTAGCTGAGTAATAATAATGATATTATGAATGTCAACAGTGATGATGAAAACCCTATCTATCATAACACACTTAAAAAGAAATTAATTAATACGTGAATTGCATGCAAACATTTTATTTAAGTTATCACACTGAATTTTGGGACAGCAAAATTCTTTACTTATACCAATATTATCTAATATCTTTCAATCCATTTTTTGATGCATTAATATATTTATTATCGTTATATATTTGTGACTTATTAGTTTATTATCGGTTATCCGTTATCTTTTTGTTGTTGTTATAATTATAAATGTTAATTATTTCGGTAATTAAAACATTAAATTTTATGTCAAATCCAAAATAAAGAATAAATAAGAGATTAAATCCCATTATGTCATTTGATAAATGATTTACGATTAAACATTATGTCAATCAAAATAAAGAAAAATAGAGATCCATTTTTTCCATAGGTATTTATAATTACGAAATTACCCGAAAACCAAAGAGAAAAAATATCCTTCAAGCAACTGCATTGTCGCTCAGTTGCCAAGTCGCCTTTTCTCCATGTAAAGAACGTGCAACATTTTATATTTCAGTGTGTCGCAGGAAACGTTACAGTGTACACGCTACCGTTATATCTCTCCTTATTTCTCACGTGAGTAACATTTCGGTTTTTAAAATCAATATCATGAATGGTATCTCCAATTCTCATCCATGTGTAGATAGATCATAACATTCGTGCAGGAGAGATGACTGTTAAATACCTGTTGAGTTGTAGAGTTGTTATCAGTAAGCAGTTGTTTCTCAAAGTATGGTACGTTTCAATCAATGTGAAAATGCATCGTCATTATCAATTTCGGAATGTTGTGGTACTTTTTTATGACTGATATTACAGCTACTGCATTTCCGCCGCCATTTGATATCAGTAGCGATGACTGCTATAATAATGGTAATGATGATGAGGGAGGGTGATGATAATGATGATAGTAATGATTATGATCATGGAATAATGGGTAATGAGGATGGTAATGATAATGAAAGATTATTATTATCATTATTATCATTATCATCATTATGAT